TGGGTGAGAAGCTCCAGAGCCATCTTACATGCCAATTCCTACCAAAAGAACAAAAAGAAAGATGTGGAATGTGGCCAAACCAAAATCTATTTAGTCTGAGTTGAAACAGTCCAGATCCTAGGAACACAAATATGAAACTATAACATCTTCACTATCAACCCAGACAAATTCAGGATCAATTTATACAAGACATCCAAAACATAATCTGAAATCATCAAATGCTAGGCACTGCTTCCAGGAAGTCTTAGTAGATCTCCTCTTTGAGCTCACCTTGAAGTAATCTCCAAAAGACCAGGATCCCAACATCTCAAAGAAGGTGTGATGATAGACATCCTTGCCCACATCATCTAGATCATTGTGTTTGCCCCCAGCCCGGATGCATTTCTGGGTATTGGCAGCTCTGCTCAGCTTGGCCATAGGGTGAGATGGGTCAATGGTGTTCAGAAAGATGGGTTTGAACTAAAAAAGAAAGGGAACATTTCAGCTTTGACAGAGTTGCAGATCTATCAGGGGGAGACATGATGGCAGGAAGAGATCACACAGAAACTGTTCAGTTTGTGATTTAATTAGCCTGGAATACAGAAACTCACGAGGCACGTGGCCTGCTGGGGCCACAGCAGAAGCAGCCTATCTTGGAGCAGCTTCTCCCTGGTCCTAGTTCTCAAACGGTCCCCACCATTGCCAGCAACACCACCTGTACCAGGGAAACACCTGCTGGATCTGTGGTAACAGTCAGAGGTTGATGTGGTGAAATCCAAGCTTCCTCAGGAGTCTCTGGTGGTCAGGGCTTATAACATCTTTCTCGAAGAACTTTTTCTAAAAGTGATGTGTTGGGGGCGCCTGGATGGCTCAGTCGGTAGGGCAAGCAACTCTTGATCTCAGGGTCATGAGTTCAAGCCCCACGATGGGCACAGGACTTACTTAAAAAGAAAATAAATAAATTTTAAAAAGTGATGTGCGGGCTTAATGGTGATAAGGAAGAAAAAAAATTGAGATCTATTAAGGGAGTAAAATCAGCACAACTTGGGGCGCCTGGGTGGCTCAGTCATTAAGCATCTGCCTTCAGCTCAGGTCATAATCCCAGGGTCCTGGGATCGAGCCCCGCATCGGGCTCCCTGCTCAGCCAGGAGTTGCTTCTCCCTCTCCCACTCCCCTTGCTTGTGTTCCCTCTCTCGCAGTGTCTCTCTCTGTCAAATAGATAAATAAAATCTTTAAAAAAAAAAAAAAATCAGCACAACTTGATGAACGGCTGATGTGTAGAGAGAAGGTATTATTTTGCTCTGAGGATTTATCAAGTTATACTTTGATGTATCATTGTTATGTAACTTTGCTTTATTTTCCCACTAGACCTGACCAGTTTGGTAACCACTAGTCACCTATGACTTCTACAATTAATTAAAATGAAATTATTAGTAATTAACTAAAATTTTTTTAAAAACAAAAAATTCTGTTCCTCAGTCACATTAGCTCAATAACCATGCATGGGGTGCCTGGCTGGCTCAGTCAGTGGAGCATGCAACTTCCGATCTCAGGGTTGTAAGTTCGAGTCCCATGCCGGGTGTAGAGATTACTTAAATAAATAAATAAATAATTTTAAAACCTAAAAAAAAAAAAAAACCATCACGCATGGCTGGTGGCTGCCATATTGGGCACCCGGCTATAGAACATTACCATTATTGTGGAAGTTCCATTTGACAGTTCTAAACTAGACCATGAACTCCTTAAAAGCAAAAACTTTATTACTTATCTTTGTATATCCAGTACCTAGCATAGTACCTGAAAAAGGGCAGATGCCTAATAAATACTATTTTAAACTTTTTTTTTTTTTTTAAAGGAGCAAAAACCCATCAAGGTATTTCTGATTAAGAGGTGCTATAGCACAAAAGTTAAGCAAACAACTACTGGGTTCCAATCTACACTCCAGCATTCACCAGCTATGTCAGCTTGGGCAATTTACTTGAGCTGTCAGTGCATCAAAACAGAGTGAGGATTAAATGAGTCAGCTTATGTAAAAGACGGAGAACAGTGCCTGGCACATAGTAAGTGTGACACACAACAGCCTAATAATTACTGTTACTCAGAGAATGTTAGAACACCGGACTCCCATGGTTCCTCTAACAAGTACAGTCGGCACATGTGGGAGAAGACAAAACTCATGCCTAGGAATGCCAGAGTAGAACAGAACCTTCCCAGTGTTCCAAAAACCCACCCCCTTGCAAGTCCACATAAAATTAGGGTCCCCTATTCCAGGTGTAGACAAAGGACTCGACGCACACACATAAGTGAAAACGTGTGTATAATTGTAAGTTAATGTTATACAAGACAGAAAATGTTCCCACTGGGGCGCCTGGGTGGCTCAGTTGGTTAAGTGTCTGCCTTTGGCTCGGGTCATGATCCCAGGGTCCTGGGATCCCTGCTCAGCAGAGAGTCTGCTTCTGACCCTCCCCTGTACTCAAGTTCTCGCTGGCTCTCTCTCTCTCTAATGAATAAATTAAAAGTCTTTTTTTTTTTTTTTTTAAGATTTTATTTATTTGCGAGAGAGAGAATGAGAGACAGAGAGCATGAGAGGGAGGAGGGTCAGAGGGAGAAGCAGACTCCCTGCTGAGCAGGGAGCCTGATGTGGGACTCGATCCCGGGACTCCAGGGTCATGACCTGAGCCGAAGGCAGTCGCTTAACCAACTGAGCCACCCAGGCGCCCCGAATAAATTAAAAGTCTTAAAAAAAAAAAAAGAAAGAAAGAAAGAAAATGTTCCCACTGCTTCTAATTTTCTATGCCAGGAAAGAAAAGAAAATGTCAACTTATCACTTAGTGCAGAGTGAGACACATTCTAAGGGCCAGTCGGTCCACTGGGCTAAAGAGCGTTCCAAGAAAACCACCAAAGGAAAGCCCTGAAGACACTATGTAACCTGAATTCACTTCCAGTCCACAATCAGCCTGATAAACAGTGTTCAATATCACAACCAAACTTTCAAATTATCTTTTATAGCTCAACTGCCCCAAACATAAATCCTACTAATAAAGTTTCATCAGTAGTGGATCCAAATTGGCATTGGTGGCAGAAGCTTCAAGAAAGAGTTAAAAAAAAAAAATCAATATGGGCACCTGGGGGGCTCAGTCTGTTAGGCATCTGACTCTTAGATTTTGGCTGAAGTCATGATCTCAGGGTCCTGGGATCAAGCCCCATGTGGGGTTCCAAGCTCAGCGGAGAGTCTACTTGAGATTCTCCCTTCCTCTCCCACTACCTCTCCCACCCACCCCCACACACGCACACATTCTCTCTCTAAATAAATAAATCTTTACAATTAAAAAAATAAAAATAATAGAAAAGTTAAAAAAAATCAAAAAAGGTGCATGGCTCAGAATGGGAATGAAAGCAAAGCTTTGAAAAGAATCTTGAAGTACTCACTTATTTTATAAAGAAAAAAACAAGGGGGGGGGGTGCCTGGGTGGTTCAGTCCATTAAGCATCTGCCTTTGGCTAAGATCATGATTATCAGAATCCTGGGATGGAGCCCCCCGTTGGGCTCCCTGCTCAGTGAAGAGCCTGCTTCTCCCTCTCCTGCTCCCCCTGCTTGTGCTCTCTCTCTCTCAAATAAATAAATAAAATCTTTAAAAAAAAAAAAGAAAAGAAAAGAAAAAGATCTAGAAAAAAACAACGAAAATGAAGACTTGAAGGAGAATCACGGTAGCTGGGTCAATAGGTCTCTTCAAGGCTCAGCAAGATTAACCTAGCCAATGACTCTAAAAAAACACAGCTTTTTCCTTAGAATAATAAAGGCAAAACTTCATACAGACTAGGGGCACCTGGCTGGCTGAGTCAGTAGGACATGTAACTCTTGAACCTCAGGGTCATAAGTTCAAGCCCCACGCTGGGCATAGAACTTACTTAAAAAAAAAAAAAAAGTTAAAAAAAAGAAGGGGCGCCTGGGTGGTTCAGTCGTTGAGCGTCTGCCTTTGGCTCAGGTCATG